GGAAGAGATACTGGCAGGGTCATGTACAGTTGAGAAGGTTGTGCACTGCCCAATTCTTGGGTTTATCATTCACACAATTGTCTCTGTAATAGGACATAGCACAAATCTGCATAACCTGCATAGTCACAAGTGGAAGTGTATATAAAGACATTTAAATTACAGATACATGTGTATGTGTGTATATACACAACACAGTATTATCCATAAATGATATATGTCAAAGTACAGGGTGAGCTTAATGCATTATAAACATGAAGGATATTTTATTATCACTTACAGGTAACTCTATATATCAGCATTTAAGTCATTTTCATATATATTACATCCAACTGAATTGAAATATAAAATATGCTTGGGGCGCCTGAGTGGCTCAGTCGGTTGAGCATCTGACTTCAGCTCAAGTCATGATCTCACGGCTTGTGAGTTCAAGCCCTGCGTTGGGCTCTGTGCTGACATCTCAGAGCCTGGAGCCTGCTTCAGATTCTCTGTCTCCCTCTCTCTTTCTGCCCCTCCCCAACTCATGCTGTCTTTCTCTTTCTCTCTCTCTCTCTCTCAAAAATAAATAAACATTAAAAAAATTTTAAATATGCTTAATTTTAGGCCTACATATCTGCTGTTTAGCTAAAAGATAAAAATGGAGAGCTTATGTTCTTATTAAGACATCTATTGAGGGGTGCCTGGGTGGCTCAGTTGGTTAAGCATCCAACTTCAGCTCAGGTCATGATCTCACGGTTTGTGAGTTTGAGTCCCATGTTGGGTTCCGTGCTCATAGCTCAGAGCCTGGATCCTGCTTCAGATTCTTTGTCTCCTTCTCTCTCTGCCTCTCCCCTGCTTGTGCTCTCTCTCTCAAAAATAAATAAACATTAAAAAAAAATTTTTTTAAGACATCTAATGCTTGAATAAGATCTTCCCCTTTTACTATAAATCACCAAAAGCAAATGAAAAATCTTACATTAGTAAAGTGTAAAATGCTCAATAGCATATTATAAAGAAAAGTAAAATATCTAAAACAATGTGAAAATACAATAACAATGTAAGTAGAAGCTAAAAATAAAACAAGATCACTAAGTGATAAATCAGTCATTTGAATATTAATGTGGATAAAGAAAAGCCAATTGGAAGGAGGCATATGGGTGAACTGGAAAAGCACAGAACATATGGGGACCTGGTTTCTCACCAGTTTCTGCTACCGGCTAACTGTGTGAACACAGACAAGTACCTCAGTCTCCCTCGAACTGAGTACATTCATAGTAACAGTAAAACCTGACATTTTTAGAGACCTTCACCGTGGAAACATACTTTCACATGTTATCTCTTATGATTCTACTCCAGAAACTCATCTTAAAACTATGCTCTGAAGAATCAGAAGGATTTTCTGCAACTATAGGGGCCTCTGCAGGAAGCAAGCATGAAGTCGGGAAGGGTTTCAGGAGTCCAGCTCCAATTCCACCAGAGCAAATCTATGGTCACCTGTTTCATAGCTTGGTCTTCTGCATATGATTTCATTTGGAAAAGTGGTTCTGAGTCTTTTAAAAAAATGTGGAATTTCTTTCTAGGCTCTATGAGTCTCATTTTTTAAAAAGAAAACCTAGTGCCATACAACTATTTAGAAGACAATTATATTCAAAACATTTTAAGATTATTTTTAGAAAAGATCAACTTTTTCAGAAATTCTCTAAAGAAACTTTCTTCTTAACTTCCTGTATTGTTTAACTTTTTAAAGGTATGTGTAGATTACCTCTAAAACAGAAAGAAAACACTTAAAATAATATTTGTTGGGGAAAAAATTGAGATCTCTCTCTTAAAAGACTAACTGAATTGCCTTCGCCAAAAAGATCAGGGCATCGTACAACTTTTGCCCAAACTACCCACTTTCGATAGTTACAGGGATGCCATTACTTATTAATCCAAGCCAATGGAAGTAAACTAGACTGTTCTAGATGAAGACGGACATATAGTCAAATACTGACAAAAGCTGTGCATGTGACACCTTGGGGAAAATAAAAGAAACCATAAATGAAGACAACCTGTCAAGCAACAGACGTGTGGCCTCGATTGGACTGTGTGCTATCATGGTAACACAGGAGGGACGCACAGTATCTATTTTCTCGTCTACAATTTCAGTTGCGTTTGGACCCAGGTAAGCAGAAGATACCGAGAAAGATGCTCATCTCCCTCAAAACTCACTTTAGCATGAACGGTGGAAAATTACAGTGAGAAAGTTAATTATAGCAGGCTAGGTAATTGAAACTTTCTAAAATTAACGAGTCTAGCTTAGTAGAAAGCTTGGATACTCAGCAGGTAACAGGCACTGAGCAGACTACATGATCCTATGATGCTTCTGAGCAGGAAAAGAAACAGTGAACTATCGATGACAGCTTGACACCGGGGTCGGAGGGAATTGGACTAACGTAGCTGGGAATCAGCTAATGGGACCTGAAAGAATACACATGTTTGTGTTCTAAAAGCCTGCCTATTATTGTCCTAATTATTACATTCCAATGTGGTGCAACTTCTAGAAATCTATTATATCATTTATGAATTTTGATATCAACAAACAGGCTGCTTTCTAGATAACATATGCCTTTTTTCCAGGGAATTAATAAATGTCTCATGTTAAAGAGACGTGGCCTACAGATCTTTATCACCCTGAAGGAGTAAATAACACCAAGAGTTACTAATAAAAATACAGTGACAGGGTCTTGTTACATACTAAATGATTTGGCTGGCCTTTGTCCCTGGTTCCTAGGAGGGAGTCTTTAAACACCTGCAATTCCCCGAGTAATAAGAATTTGTTGTTCATGGTGGGTCCCCTCAGTCTACTCTTGCCCGAAAGGCCAACTGTGTGATTTGAGGGTTGGTGATTTGGACCATGTGACATCAGTGGATATTTTGGGAGGAGAGGGGGCTTGGAGACTGAGTTCAATCACATGGCCAATGATTCCATCAGTCACGCCTACGTCATGAAGCCCGACAGAGCTCTGGACAGTGTCGTTCAGGTGAGCTTACCAGTTGGGGACGCACTTGGATGTGCCTGGAAGACAACACATGCTGAGGACACAAGAAGTTTTCGGCCGGGACCCTCCCAACCATTGCCTCAATGCATCTCTTCTTGTGGCTGATCCTGATTCATATCTTTTATAATAAAACTGTAATCATTAGCCAGCACTTTCCTAAATTCTGAGAGTCATTCTGGTGAATTACGGAGAGGGAGTCATAGGAACCGCTGAACTTTGAGCCAGGTTTCGGAAATGCTGGTGGCCTGGAAACTGAGGCAGGTGGCTGATACCTGAAGTGAGGGAAGGTCTGGGGGGGACTGAGCCCTTTGCCTGTAAAGCCTCAGTAACTCCAGGTAGTTACTGTCAGAATTACATTACAGCCCCAAAGATTTACTCCAGTCTCAAGAAATGTGAACTGATAATTACACAACATAATAGGGGGAAAGAATCACACTTTCATTTAATGTTTGAAAACCTGCATCCGCAAAGAAGTTATAATTAAAACCTTTAAGGGGATGCTCTCCTAAAGTAAAACTAACAAAAGTTCTTCAAATGTGAGATAATACCAAGGGAATGTGCATAATGTCAGTAACAAAGGAATATGTATAACATTAGCATCTTGCCAGCCTAGGGTAATTTAACGTGCTATTCCCCAAACACAAAAATATCACAGCTCAGTCTTTGCAGTTTCAGGCTGACCTTCCACGCAGACATTCCTTCCCATCACGACACGGTAAACGGTATTCATCTGACAGAGGGCTAGCAGGTATTGGAAATTCCATCTCTAACAGGAGCAGAAAACAGTTGACAGTCTTATTTAGAAACTTAATCAATGGTCTTAGTTTATTGGCACTCTCCAGTCACCAATTACATGAAGGGATAAAAGGTCAGGATGTAGCCAGGCTGTCAACAAGTTTCATTGCTCTTTGATATTTTAATTCCAACAACTACAGCACAACAAAGTTAATCAAGACCAAAGTTCTTCGGGTTGGAAGTCTCCTAAAAATTCCCCTTCCATCTTCAAGTTATGAAATGTATCCTTTTTATTTATGTATTAATGTTCTAACAGATATGAGGGATGATTTGAAAACAACCCCAGCATGAGTTGACATAGGATTCTCTCCCCAGTTTCCACAGGGTCTTAAACAACTTAGGACCAGAGCAAAACCACCAGGCCACCACTGCGATCCCAGTCATTCTTGGCAGTGTTGTTCACAGAAGCAAAGCAAATTTGAGGGATTTTTTTTTTTCTATTACTCCTCAATAATACAGTAGGGTAAAATCTTGAATGTGCTAACTCTACGATTTATTCCTGCCATTGATAATGGGAGCCATGGTGTAATGTTAAGTCAGGGTACAACAGAATAAATCAGCAATGTCGGGACTGGAGATCAGACAAGGAACGAAAGCAAGACTGGAAGAGAATTAGACTTGTACCAGTCGGAGATCTTTCCACACTAATACCCTGGTGTGGACCCTGAGAATGTGAATTATGGAGAGGTGGGCAGGGAGAATGAAGAGAAAGAAGAAGATGTGAAAAGTATTTCCGTAGGTACATTTTCAGACCTTGATTCAAGAGAGACCCATCAAAGACGACCGGTGTCTAGCCTAGAGGCTAGAATAATAGTAACAACGACAGAAGAGCAGACACTAGGGAGAGGAAGCAGGTTTGGATGGAGGAATGAATGATATTCCTTTCAGTTTTGGGTTTTACATGTTCACAGGCTTTCTTTACGTATTTTAAACAGTATTGAGGCATTTAACACCCTATATAAGCTTTTTATTTCTCCACAATTTAAGATTATACAGTATAACTCAACTAGGGGGAGATTCTATTGCAGGTAAATAATACAGATAATGGAAGGCATATGTAGGGGACTTATCACGGCTGGGAAAAAGTGCAGATGAAGTCAATGGGCACAGGCTTCCCAGGGAAGAGAGTGGAGCCTCCAAACTTTATCACAAACTTGGTCTTAATGAGCAATACCAAAAAGCCAGTACCTGAAACATCAGTGGGGTGGTTGCAGAAGAAAAATTCAGACTCTTGGTTATGTGACTTTCAGAATCGTATTTTGACATAAATCCTTTGATAATGACTGTTTTGGCTGTTCCTTGCTCCCCAATTAACAGCACGGCCTAAAAGAGAAGTTGAGAAAGAAACCCAAGGAATGCAATAAAATGATTATGGGCTACCTCGTGCTCCCCCTCTCCAAATTCGCACGTCGAAGCCCTAATACCCAGGGCCTCAGAATGTGACTGTATTTGCAGAGAGGGCCTTTAAAGAGACGATGAGGTTAAAATGAGGCCATTAAGGTGGACCCTAGTTCAATCTAAGCAGCCTCTGTAGAAGAGGAGGAAGTCTGGATACACAGGTAACAGGAGAGATGAACACAGATAAAGACCACAGAGAAGGCAGCCAGCTGCGAGCCAAGGAGAGAGGCCCCCGGGGAAACTAAACCCGCCAGCACCTTAACCTTGGACTCCAAGCCTCCAGAACTAGGAGGAAAGAAAGGTCTGTCGTTTAGGCCACCCAGCCTATGGTGATTTATTTGGGCAGCCCTGGCAAACTAACACAATTATCAGAAGAGAAGAATGTCTCTTTGGACAAACGAGTCAAAATTCACTGTCTCTCAACTAACATGTGAGAACAAATCACTTGCTCATGAATTGGAACCAGGCAACTCTACGGCTGTCAGTGGAGAATAAGAAAAGTAGTGTATCCATTTGGGTCATATTTTCATTTCCTCTAGACAGCAACCTAAAGCATTTTAAGATAAATGCAAGATGCCTTGTGTTTTCGAGGGACGTTTGAAAATGTGCTATTGTTAACAATTAAGTTAAAGAGCCGTACCTTGCCCTGTTTAGCGATGGTTTTGATTAGGAAGTCGGTCCTCACGTTGTCGACATTTGGTACCAGGATGGAGCCGTATTCTGGAGTGACGTCAGGTGGATACACATATTCCTCGGTACACGTGTTCCAGTGAAGCCACTGACCTGAGGTGCACACAGAACATTCACATATTCATACGCCTATTAATGATTTAATTCCTAACTGTCACGAGCAGATGTCCTGGACATCTCATGAAGCATCTTTCAAAATCTCCCCGTAAAATAAGATCATTACAATGGTAGCTCTACGTAGTATTTAAGTATGTGTTGGCCGAGTCAGAATTTCCCAAGGAACAATTCCAAAGTGGTAATATTAGGAAATATTAAGAAGTGTCTTGGAATTTTCTTTTTAAACATGTCAGTTTTCAATAATGTCTGAATAAAAATTAAGAATACAGTGATAAGGGACTGGGTGGCTCAGTCGGTTAAGCGTCAGACTCTAGGTTTCAGCTCAGGTCATGATCTCACAGTTCATGGGTTCGAGCCCTACATGGGGTTTGGTGCTGACGGCACAGAGCCTGCTCGGGATTCTCGCTCTCTCCTCTCTCTCTGTCCCTCCCATGCTCACTCTCATTCTCTCTCTCAAAAATAAATAAACATTCAAAAAGAACACAGTTGGGATGCCTAGGTGGCTCAGGTGGTTAAGCGTCCGACTTCGGCTCAGGTCCTGATCTCACGGTCCGTGAGTTCGAGCCCCGCGTTGGACTCTGGGCTGACAGCTCAGAGCCTGGAGCCCGCTTCAGATTCTGTCTCCCCTCTCTCTGCCCCTCCCCCACTCACGTTCAGTCTCTTTCTCTCTCTCA